GACCTCTCCTGACCCATCCGCTGCTCCCCTCATCAGTGTACTTCATCAGTCGGCCTGTTCTGCTCCCTACTCTGTCTTTAGTGAATCCTCTCACTCTCTGCATCTCTGGCCTGTACCCCAGTTCTGTATGAATAAATAAATAAATCTTAAAAAAAAAAAAAAGTTTTCTATATATTTTTAAAGTGCTCTTAAAAAAGTTTACTGCATAAGAAAACATATATGTCTCATCATGTATTTCACACCAGACATACCTTTATCTACTTTTATATCTGGGTTCCCTGTAAGTAGGACTTATAAATCAGTGTCAGTGTATTTTCTTTATAGCTAAAAAATGTGTTACTTACCAAATTTTCTCTTTCAATTCTCTGCTGTTCCCTTTGTCTGTTGAGAGCACTATGATATAATTTGGGGGGAGGACCAACAGATCTTCTAGGAATTGTACTTTTGTTCCCGGGTTTATCAGCCTGTCTTGACAGTTCTTTCAAAAGCCTCTGATTTTCCCGATCAATCTGCCTCACTTCCTCTCTTGTGAAAGAGTAGTTTCTCCTAGGTGCAACTGAAGGCTGATCAAAGTGAGGTTTTTGTGGTCCCTTTTTATCTAATTGCAGAAAAGCTACAGAAATCAAAAAAGGAAAACTGGTCAACAGTTAAGCAAACTAGTACAGCAGCTACATGCTTTAACATGCTTTAAAGGCAGAAACTATATTAATTCACAAAAAGGCATGTATGAAATAGTTAATGAGCGTGAGCCAGACTGTAATCAAAGAGGACAAAAAAAAAAAAAAACCAGGGGCAGTTTAGAACATTGTGCTAATTGGGTTCTTTGGGAATAAAAGTAATACATGAGACAATGAAAATGTTTTAGTAAAAGAAGTACCTGACACTGGTACTCAGAAGACATAATTGATGAAAAATGCCTTTGTCATGTTCATTTCATGCTTCCCTTATATTAGCTTAAAAGTTAGGAAGGCTCTGGTTGAGTGCACCAATATAATATTTAATTGGGATAGTTACTGATAGCTGGAGGATATATTTCAAAAAACAAAATGTCAGCAGTGATTGATGAAAACAATGCTAAATAATGGCAAAAACAAATCTAGAATATTCTGAAACTTTCAACATAATCTGAAAATATCTTACTAGGAAAGATTTACTGTCTAGTAGTATCATTAAAAAATTACATCTACTGGGGCCCTCCCTGGTGGTGCAGCGGGTTGAGGCACTGCACTGAGAAGCTAAAGCCATTTCCGCATGAGTTCGATTCCCGCCTGCCCCGGAGGTGACCACATGGCGTGGCAGACCTCTCCTGGCCCGCCCGCTGCTCCCCTCAGCAGTGTGCTTCCTCGATCTGCCTGTTCTGCTCCCCACTCTGTCTCTGGTGAAGCCTCTCACCGCCCCTGAGCCTCTGACCTGTACCCCAGTTCTGTATGTACAAATAAATAAATCTTTAAAAAAAAAATTACATCTACTGTAAAAGTCAAATATTTTATCTTGAACTAAACAAAAGTCAAATGAATATCGTATGTAAAAGGAATTTTTAGCCAAAAAAAAAACCCCACCTTTGCATGTTACCAAATAAAATATTTATCAGGGCCCTCCCTGGTGGCACAGCGGCTTATAGCACAGAAGCTAAAGCCACTTCAGCATAAGTTCAATCCCCACCAGCCCCGGAGGTGTTCCACATGGCGCCGCAGACCTCTCCTGACCCATCCGCTGCTCCCCTCATCAGTGTACTTCATCAGTCGGCCTGTTCTGCTCCCTACTCTGTCTTTAGTGAATCCTCTCTCTGCCCCTGCACCTCTGGCCTGTACCCCAGTTCTGTATACATAAATAAGTAAATCTTTGAAAAATAATTTTATCAACATGCTTAATTCTTAAATTTCTATATTATAAAAATAAAACAACTATATTACAAAAAATTTCATTAGGTTACAATTAACAACATCTGTTAGCAGTGTCTAAAAATATTAAAGCCTATTCAATACTTCAGTTTAAGTATGTACTAAAAATGAATATCAGATTAACAAACTGGTATGATTTGTTTTTGCACAATATTTTTAAACTATTATTTGGTTCTGCTAATTATTTTGCTTATGTGGCATTTTATGCTGTTAAAAGCACACTGCAGACAGGGGAAGAGGAATTTTTAAGCCCTATTTAAATGTATGATCAGTTGGTAGAGGTAAGTTAAATCATTTTACTATGATTGCAAAATCTGTAAGCCTACCTCCCTATTTGAAAAATCAAAGATATCCTAAAGTTACACGGAAACTTACAAAATATTTATAATGGCTTTCTGATAGGAAAAAAGAGGAAATTGATGGCTGGGAATTTATTGAAAACTATACCAAGTTAAAAACAAAACTTGAGAGAAAATACGTATAAATGTACAGATGTGTTATGCACTAAGAAACACCCATTTGTAGAATTTAATAGTTTCTAGATTAATGTGACCATATTAGAACGTTTTAAAATTAATGTTAATGGAAATTAAGCTAACTTTCTAATGGCATTTTCTGTTTTCAGAAATAAGACAAGACAAAATAGCAAAATAACAAATTATACCTAATTCACTTAAAAAATGTAAAAAATAACATTTTAATTTTCAGATGGAAAAGGATGGAGTGCTGTATAGTGATAGCAAGACAAGCTACCTTCTTCTAAAACTGGCACTGTATTTTAGTATGAGGCCAACTTAAAAAATGTAAGCCACTGTTTTTCCAATTGAGAAAGTCTAATTTTTTTCACTTGAATAAATGTTTAGGGATACATATATATATATATATATATATATATATGTAAACTCTCATACTTAAATAAGTTTCCCCTAATTTTCGTTAATGAAACAATTTGTTCAAAGTCTTTACATCATTTTAGTATCAGTATCCCTTATCATCAGAGCCACTTCCTGGGTCATCAAACACTATATACTGGAAGGTTCAGCTGTACTTTCACTACAGACAATATTTTAAAATTTACACATAAAACTGTCACTGGAAATTTTATCCCAAGCCATATTAAATTTTCATTCATTTTAGTACTTAAAAAAAAAGTCTGCCTGCAGGCATATTCATGATCCATATTTAAAAAAAGCAACAACAAACTTCTGCTTTTTAAAATGATTTTTTAAAGTTTTAAAAAACCCAACACTTGTAACTGAGAGATCACAAGTCAAGGAGTTAATAGTAAATTTACTCCATTTCTTTGTTTTCTTGATCATCTTCTGAGATGAAAAATTCTGTAACATTCTTCCTTTGACTCTGGGCAGGCTTGTGGTAACTTGGACCAATATGATCGCGCCAAAGGATGGTTTTCAAGGTTGGCAAAAAAGGAGATGAACCCCACACTCCCCAGTGTTTGCTGGAATACTTGAGCTTGGTCACACACAACCATATATATCTGACTACACTGAACCTGCATTTAGACACTGACAAAAGTCAAACCACACAGAGGCACCACACGAAGGCTCTATGATCCCAATTTCTGCATCACCCTAGGTTGCTGCTTTACATTTCTAAGTTTTGTGATCTGTTATCAGACCAACAGCAACTAATACAAAATTTGATACCAGAAGTAGGGCACCACATAACAAAAATCTAGAAGACATGGCAGTAGCTTTGAGATAGGTAGAAAGTAGAGCTGGAAGGGTCTAAGGAGATTACTTACTGGTGAATAAGTGGCAGAATTTTAGCATCACTGTTTGCATTGGTGACAAGAAAAAAAGAAAAAGTACCTATGCCACCAGTGAATTCAACTAAGCAACTCTCCGCTCAGAACGTCCTTATCAAAGAAAGGTTTATTTTATAACAATGAGATAGGATAGAGAGATATGAACTTTTTTTTAAAAGGGAGCTGGTTAGTTTTCTAAAAACATTCTTAGAGAATATAAAAATTGGAACTTATGGAATTAAAAAAATTAAATTTACCATTCCAAGCCTCTGTTAGATTTCCAAGCACCGAGAGAGCTATGTGACTGAGGAAGCCAGCAGGAAGCGCCTCAGCTGTACTCAGACTTCTTTTAGGCCCTGGATAGCGGAAACTGGAGGATCTTTGGAAAAGGGCATCGTATTTTGCATACGGGAGGGATGTAAACAAGTATATGATCAAAGTTGGTCAGAAGAGGTTAAAATATGCCCTTTAAAACACACTACTCCTTCCACAAAAGGTGGGGTCTATGCCTTTCCTCTTAAATCTGGGAGACTTGTAACCATTTCAACCCACGGGATTATGATGAAATGATGCTATGTGTGACTTCTGGGGCTAGGCCACAAAGGCAATGTGAGTTCTGTTTTGTTTCTTGGAACACTGAAGCCCTGAGCTTCCATATAGAGGTTCCACACCGGAGGCCACCATCTGTGAAGAGGCTGCGCGAGCCCCCTGCTCAGCAGTGCCTGTCTTCAAAGTCATCCCAAGTTCAGCTCTTCACATGTGAGTATGTATGCCTGCAATCAGATCATCCCAGCCCCCAGCTGAGAAGTCACTCCAGCTTTTGAGACTCTCCTTCCCCTACAACTGGGGTAATGTGTTATGTAGCAATGGTTGCTGACATTTTATACTGTGTGATGTGGAAACAAATTACCTGTGGACCACGTGCAGCTCACAAGCAAGTAGCTAGTCCTTTTTTTTTTTTTTTGGATCTAACCAGTCTATCAATCTTCCACATGGCTTTGTCCATTTTATCATCTGGTTCTATTTTGTTTTCATCATACATTTCAAATCAATGGTTACTGTGCCTTTTGGAGTGCCTGGACAATTTATTAATGTCAGACATTTTTCTTTGTTCCTTTTAGAACTTTTCATATCCGAAATCTATTTTGTGTACTAATAGGATTGACGTTTCTACATTTTTCTTTATTAATGATTATCTGGCATATCTTTTTCAAGTCTTTATTTTCATTCTCCCTATGCTATTTAAATTTTTTTTTTTTTAAAGATTTATTTATTTATGCATACAGAGCTGGGGTACAGGCCAGAGGCTCGGGCGGTGAGAGGCTTCACCAGAAACAGAGTGGGGA